ATTATATTAAAGGAAGCGGAGGAGGAAGATAATCCGGATCACGATTTACTATCGATATCTCACCAACATAAATGAAAGTGCAAACAATTCTTTGTGACGTACAATAACATGGCCATAAGATATAGTAAAAAGTAAACTTTAAGTCACTACAATAATATTATTATTTCTAAAGTCAGAAAGTTCAAAAAAATTCATTTTTCACAATATTTTTTTGTTTTTTTTTTTGTTTTGTCTCACTTATTTAAAGGATACTATCTCCCCCCTTTGTATAAAATTCAGGTCAAGGTTATAAGGTTCACGACAACCTGAGTTGTTTCTTTTGTAAAATATATCTTGTTATAATCGATCTAAATGGCGGATATACTATTTCTTAAACAGTTGTTTACTCCTCGTTTTAACTTCATTTCTATTATAAAATATTGTAGATTAACTTTTAATTAACCGTTAACCTTTGATTAATCTCTGTGAGAGACCGTAATCGTAACTGTATGAGCCTTTAGGGTGCTTCAATATGGATCCAGTCGAGGCGATTCATTTGGATTATAACCTCCTAAATTATGATCTACGAAGAAGGTTCTTAATGGAATCTTTACATGGCCCTCACTATGTGTTGGGGGGATCTGATCCCACCAGTGGCCGAGTGGCTAAAACCACAGGACAGTAGTAATTGGTCTCGGGTTGTTGCCTCATCAACTAGCTGGCCACGTGAAGTTTTCTGGGCTTTCTTCACTTGTCTAATTAGGAGCTGTTTCCTTGTGGCCCTGTTTCTTTGTTAGATCGTCCAAGTGTTACATTGTCTTATTCTATGAATCCCTTATATCGGGAGAGCAAGAGTCTCAACACATCCTCCTTGTCTCCACGGTGGTGACTATGGATTTAACTGTCATCCTACAGAATTCAATTTTAACTGTTTTATTTCGTTAATTACGGACAATTTTCGATCGAAAAATACTTGAAATATTCGTAAAATTTATCAAAATTGATTGATTATGATAAAATGACTACAACTTTATGAAAATTGAAATTTATTTCGGTGTAGCTCCAGGCATATTTTTCAGGATGTACGTTTAAAAGGTGAGACTGTAATTTAGTATGCTGATTGCATGATAAATACACAGCACGAGTATATTTATGTTAAGCACTGTATAACAGGCTTACTCATAGAGGCTTTAACATAAATGTAAAACAGGTTTTTCGCGTGAGTATAAAGCCCATATGTCATACTGTCTCAATAGAAAATATTGCATTTATCTCCAACATCTGGTGTGGAGAAACACAATACGTTCAAATATATATTTTTTTAATGTCTATTTTTCTAGAAAAGTAATATAATATAAGCACCTAAAACATAATTTACAAGATAAACCAACTTTAAACATAGAGAAAATGCAATTATAAAACAGTTGTTACGAACATTGGCGGTCTTTTCCCAAATTTGAGGGAAAAAAATATTTATTATTTTAAATTTCGCTAAACTAAACGACTATTGGTTAAAGATATGCTTGTTTGAACGTCGATTGGATAAAATGTAATAATAGGTGGAGTTAAATTTGATCGTGAACCAATTGTCACTTTTAAACAATATCTGTTTCGCATTATGTCTTATACATTCTACAGTGAACTGCCTATGTTTCTCCAATTATTTTTATGAATAATTAGTACAAATCTATATATTTTAAAATTGAATTTACAGTTAAACGTCGATTTAGAGTTGCCAATCGTTCGCCACTAAATTGAATATGGCGTTTAATCCGAGTAATTTAAAGTTACTCGGGTTTAATGTCATGCTCGATTTAACGCCACACTCATATAAATAATAAATAATTATATATTCAAGTAAAAATTATAGGACTGTACAGTAATGAGACGTTCAAACAAGTTAAGATGGGAAATGCCAAATCCTGAATATGGCAACTGACAGTAGGGTTCTCTATTTAGATCCATTGACGCTTTAAAAGACTATATTTTCCCCGTTTATAACGATCGAATAGTTTATTTTATTTACGTTTTATTGTATTTTTTAAAAATAAATTTTCATAAGTACAGTCAAACCTAATGACGAAAACGAAAAATGGCCGTTATTTGGAGGTTATTTTGTAAGCACTTCAAAGTAAGAAACATTCTTTAAAAAATGACGGCAGTTTAGAGGTAGCCGTTGTTGGGTGGTTTCGACTGTGATAATAAATTTTATAAAATAAATTTATTTATATATTTTCGTCAATTAATGAACGATTTCCTATTGAAACAAGCGCCATTTTTGATTGATTTCTTACCGAATTTCTTCGATTTTTACGTGTTTGTGTACAATCTCATTGAACCGACTTGAATATTTATTTTTCTTTTCTTTTTACGTGAAGTCCTTTTCCATTTTCTACGCTAATATAATTATCATAAATGGCATTTTATTCTGTGGAGGAGGTAGGCCCCGGGGGTCTAAACCTGGATATTCCTTTGGAGAAGCAGCAACGTGGATCGATAAGATACGTCGACAGGTCATTGGGTAAAATCTCGGACACGTTGACAGAAATATTACGACGTGGAGCCACGAAATAATCACGTTATTATACAGAAACGTCGCCTTGATGTATGAACTTAAACCCATAAAGACTACAGAATCTAGATGTGGACATTGTAAAAGAAAAAAAAAATGGCCACTTGCGCGATTGCTAATCGTATCAAAGCTTCTAAACACTAAAAGAACAATTCTTTAGACATTAAAATATATTTTTTATGAATATTTATATTCTAAACCATTCAATTTTTCCCCTTTGCAACTTTGTTCCAGCCGAATATTTTATTGGAGACGAGACACGGGTTCGAGTCGAGAGCCTCTTCATAGTTATAACTGTATTTGCTATAGATGAGAAATATGAGTCATATATCATCATCAATACGTGAATGTGGAGACATTTTGTCTGGTTTATCCTAATTGGTTGATGTATGCACGGGCGATCCACGGATTTAATTGATGGATCATCCTCGTAGCGTTTGACAAGGATAAGTACTAGGACATAAAATATTGTTTGTAGATCGCATTTAACACCCCGCATACACTTTTCGCATTGTATAAGATGAATACATTGTTATGTATGACCACATTTTCCTTCTCCCCCTTCGTTCTAAAGGATGTCGTTAATGGAAACGTGATTTATAAATCGATGATTCAGCTTCGTCGCCCTGAGCGAGTGACATTTTCCTATATTTTTTTTAAAGACAATTAGAGAGGGAAAATTGTATTCTTTTTAGGAAATTTATACAGTACTTAAATTCAATTAATTTCCATAGAATTCAGTTAATTTAGTATTTATTAAAGCTTCTAAATGATGGTAAAAAGTCCCAAATAATACATATTCACCAGCATTTTTGCTTAGAGCTTATAGATAATAGTTAAATATTCATGAGTATTGTCGACATCTGTTATCGTACGGGGACAACCCCTAGAGAGGAAGCATTTATATAGATTAGAATCTGAATGTGATGGATACAAGCGAAGTTGAGATGGAAAGATGCAATTCTCTCGAGCATCTCTGACTAGAAAAACAAGGGAAAAAAATTAATTAGAATTGTTTAAATCTTAGTAGAAACAAATGAAGGATCAACAATATTTTTTAAGTTCATTTAATATTAATTTCTGGATGATCCATGTAATTTTTATGCCCCTTTTAGTTAATAAATTCGAACCGAATATTGCGTAGTAAATATAATAGCGGATTAAATTCGATACGGTATTGTAGATACCAGTTAATCTTCAGAGCTCAACCCCGTTACGCGTAGACCCTATTAGTATGTAAATGTATGCTGATGATGTACACGGTCAGGTCTATATTAACATCACTCACACGATCGTCACACGTACAGACAGACGATCGTTCTAAAATGCAAATTAAACAAAAACGGGACTGCTCCCGTCTTTCCATTCTATTTTTAGAATAATCTTTGAAATTTTTCTTCGATTTAAACATATATTTAGTAAAGAATTTCGTTGAAAATCGTTGTATAATGGAAATGATGATGTTTTTAATCGATATTTTCAATTATTTATTAAGATTTTCGCGTTATTTTCGTGAAAAATGTCATTATTTACTATAACTGCTCATTATTTTCTTCTATAACGTTAACGTAGTTGATACCAACGACCTACTTCACGCTTATAAAATCGCTACAAATAATACTAAAAAAATTAATTTTTTCGATTTTTTTCGCTTGGAAACACATCTGTGTTAAAATTTAAATTGAGTCTGACGCTTAGGAGACACGAATTTTTATTTATTATCCCCATCTTCCATCCTTCACTTTGTAGCATCCTCCTCCGGATGACGATGGCGACGTTGTTTCATTTCAATCGTTTTTTTTAAATAAATAACCCGAAATTAATATTTTTTTAAATGTAGGAAAGATGCTAATTTAATTTCCTGTTACGTTCTTTCCATTGAGTTACGCTAATCCTGAGAGATTTCACGTTTCATTTAGGAGAACGTGTTACATATCCAATGGTAGGAAGGCCGGTCACTTACTGCTCTTCCACCAATGGCGGATACCTTTCGAACGTTATGATACATAATTATGTTATTTTTTTGGGTTACTCCCTTTCTTTCTGTTGTCGTAACGTCTTACGTTACGTTCGTAAAGTGCTTGAAATTGTAGATTTTGTCCGTACATCGATTCGGTTTGTGTAGACGATGTGCCTTAAGCAAACGTTCAGATATCGATTCTCTTAAAGCAGAACGATCTCGATAACCTTCGACCCCACTTTCTTTTCAAATTTTCGAACGTAATAATCAATTAAACGCCGTTTTAAACGTTAAAATCTCGCGAGAAACGTCATAAAAATCGTCGGTTAGAAAGTGACATTTTTTTTTGAACGTTATTATGAATTTTGAATTTTTTTAAATTTTCAAATTTATTGTCGATTTCGCAACGTACTCGGTGATTTTTCTTTTTTTTTTTTTTCTTACGTAAATTATTACGCTTGGTGGCTTTCTAGTACCAGTAACTACCGGAATGACGTCAGCAAAGAAAATCCGGTTTGTTTTTGAATGATCAAAGGTTCGTAGAATGTTTTTCTCGCTCGGGTTAAAGGTCAAATAATACGATATAAGAGTACATTCGTTACTACGAAGTTCAGTAAAATGGAAGAAAAGTTAGAGGTAAGTAGGATCTAACAATACAGCAAACCAGATCGGAGATTTCGAAAGATATTAATTAAAATGATCTTGCATTTTTCATACGAGAAGAATAGGAAATTCGTTCTTAGAAGTAAGGAAACTGCAATAAAATTGGCAGTTTTTGTTTTTTTACCAAACTTTGCGTTGAATTAATGAAATTTACGAGAATTTAATTAAGTTTTATATTAAATTTAATCATAGCCATGATTGTGTTAGGTTATGCCAGGCCCTCGAGTAGCTAGGCCCTTATAAACGGACTCTCGGAGGTTTTATATTATGTAAACTTGTGTTTTTATAATGTGAAGTCTTTGAGTCCGTGCGCTTGTATGAGGTCTTAAAAGCGCGAGGTCCTAAACGAAAATTTAGGCTAACTATACCTTAAAATGCCAGCGTATACTAGTAATAAATTTTATCAGATTAAGTTAAGAAAATAGAGCGGAGTCGTGTGTAACCTTTTATAGTTAAAAGGTCAGGTAAATGTGACCTTTCGACGAGAGTTTAACTTTGTTTCACGAACAAAGAGTAAAGAGAATTGTAGATAAAAGCGTAAAGTTTAAAACGCGTTCGAATTTCCTTTAATTAAAGCGAATAAACACCTCGAAATTCGTTCATTCAAGTTAATTGCGCAGCACGCGTTACCGCGGCGCGACGCGTCACGATCGAAGCGCTTACACTAAACTAACGCAATTTTTTAAAGAATTATCGTAATAATAACATGTGGCGAGTTTATTTTAAATTGAAATAACAATTAAAAATAAATTTTTTAAGTTTATTTGAACTAAATTTCGTTATAAATATTCTTCTACAACGAGTATTTTCGTAAACGACGTTATCTCCGTACGGATCGACGCGCCGTTGATTTAAATCAAATGTAACAAGAATATTTTTATGTTTAATTTATAATTATTTATGAATTTTTATGTAAAATATAGATTTGTCTGATATTTCGTTAAACTTAAAACAAGGCGACTCGTTACGATCGATTTGGCGGCGCGAAACGAAGCGACGCGACGTCGCTTAGCTTCGCGTGGCGCAGTCATTTAAACGGCCGCCATTTTGTTTCGAAGCAAAACAGGATTTAAAAAATTGTTTTTGTGAAATCTTCTTTTGTTAAAAAACATAAAAAATCCGTTTAATTCGTTTTTCGTTTCAGTATCAATCGGGATTCGGTAGCCATTTTTCATCCGAAGATCCTCGTTGCCCGGGTTCATTGCCTAAAGGACAGGTAATTTTTGTAAATATTTTAATGATATTTACCGTAAATTTCTTGAAATTAAATTGGGAAATCTTTTTAATGTGTTAAGATGTGTTTATTTTAAATTTTCCATGGTTTTCCTACAGGAAAAACGGGTATAATTTATGCTCAAAGTAGTTCCTGAAGCACGTTTTATCGATAACTTAAGCGTTGTGTATCGATCTCTAGAGGCAAATCTCTTAAAATTATGCTAAATAATAAAATAAGGAACCAAAATAAACGCATCTTTACTAATTTAAAGCTATGAAAATAGAGTTATAACTATGCGATATTTGAGAGTTATAACTGTTACTAGACTCTATATGTTCCTCAATACAATGAGAACTTCAATAAGATGTAACTACAAGGTGAGTCTACAAGTCCTCTCGTTGAAAGACCCTCACCCGCTCACTCACAAGGCCTCACGCACTCACTGAAAGGCCCTCATTTACCTGGTCTCACTCACTAAGAGATCTTCATTGGCCTGAACTCGCTCACTCACTGAAAGGCTCTCACTTACCTTGACTCACTCACTGTAAGGTCACCACTCATCTGACCTCACTTACTCACTGATAGGCCCTAGTTTACTTGGCCCACTCACTGGCCGAGGGGCTCGCAATTCGGCCTAGACGACCCTCTTACGTATCAACCGATACATGTCTCTGATCCCTGTAAGCAGTCATTTAATCTTTCATACTAATGGCAAATTTCAGTAAAAACAATTATATTAATTGAACACTACTATAATTAATTCTGGTATTTATGTATTTAATTAATTAATCTTTAAGTAATTAATAAATTAAGGCTGCTGTTTTAAGTTAGAAAATGTCTGGTAAANTACAATTTAAAATAATTTAATTGAAATAATAATATTAAATCTTGCTACAGGTCAACATGCGGGAACAATATCAGGCAACCATAAACTTCAGTACGTTGAATCAGTTTTCTTTGAATCTTGATGTTTAATAAGTATTTCAATATAGATTTTTATATATGAAAACCTATATTGAAATAATCTTGATATCAATATTTTTGATTTCGTAATTGTTTCTAAATTTTTTGAAATTTGCATTTTTTCCAATGTATGTAATTAAAGTTATTAAATATTTATTAAACTTACTGTATTGTTCTGTTTTCACAGGAATGGGTGGAGTTGCAGCTCCTTCTCCTAATCTAGATTTTGCTGCAATCCAAACATAATATACGGTATCAGGATAAAGTTCACCAAGAGTATATGTTTCTACATCAGGAATGCTTAAATGATATTCTTGTTGAGTAAATGTATCATTCCAGTATAGTTCATATCCAGTAATACTTTCTCCAGTATGAGATGGACGCATCCACGTTAAGTGCACAGTAGTAGATGATGTAGATGTAGCTCTCAAATTAACAGGTTGACTAGGAACTATAAAATATATTAATCTTTAAGTAATTAATAAATTAAGGCTGCTGTTTTAAGTTAGAAAATGTCTGGTAAATTAATTCCTTGTCGTAAGGGAGAGAATGTGATCCGATTATAGAACTGCTACTGATTAAATATAGGGGCAATAAGTCTACTTTAGAGTTCACTCTCGAAATTCGATCGAACAATACAAGTTTATAGGAAGAATAAGGGATGTCTGGATAGAACGAGGATCCTTTTAGAGCGTTATAGTCAGACGGAAGAGTTTTGCAGCTTCGTATCCAGACAGAAGAGTTTTACAGCGTTATAAGTGGGAAGAAGAGTGTTTTAAAGCGTTATAAGTAGGAATAAGGCTGTTTTAAAGAGTCATTTATATACAAAAAAAACGTAACGCCTACAGAAGGGCAAACAAAAGAAATTCGCAATTCATAGAACAGAAAAAGAAGAGTCTACGGCTATCGAAAGTAAGGATATTTGTGCAAGTAGGACAAGCAACGCATCAATATTTAAATTATATCGTCGTAGCCAGTAGAAATAGTCGAATTACATCTATACAATGCATAAAAAACAAGAAGACTTTAAACTAAACACACGAGGCATCTAACTACAAAGAAGCACTTTCCATTATTCTTCTAAGTGTAAACAATATTAGAGATTGGTTTTACCTTCTACAATTCGTCAGTTCCGGTTATTAACGTTATCTGTTTTCGTAAAAGGCGATTATATATCGCTGTTTACACGTAGACGAAACATTTAGATGAAGATAGCGAGTGTTATCAGTTGAGAGAGATAAACACTGCTTCTAGCGATCGCTCCCTCGCAGCCAGGAAGTTTTTCCAATTTTTTTTCTTTTTGGATAACTGGAGGGCCAATACCAAATAATAAACTGCGGAAACGGAAATGGGATTATCGTCTGTTATCGAACAGGAGATAACCACCCCCCAGACATTTTGTTTCGTACGTCTGGAGGGTGACTAAAGTTTCGATCCGCAGACACTACACAGCATTTGCTTATCGTTGGTGGCTACTACAAATAACGGGGAGGCACGGAAAACAAATACTTTAAGAGATTAGTATCGATTGTGACCCCCAGTTTCGGGGGTAATGCCAATCCGTCGATGCTGAGGGCACTTCGACCTCTCGCCCTGGTCACGTGGGATTTGCTCCTCTTCTCTCGTTCTTCCCTCGTGATCGTGACATCACCGCCGGGTCCTGGAAAGATGAGGGTAGAAGATAATTCTATTTAAGGGCGGTAATCGACAAATGGGGGACCAAGCCGATAGAGGAAATGGTTAATAGCATTTTAAGTTTATCGATTCTTATTGGTTCGTAAATTATACACTTTAATTGTTAATGTTTAATTCGATTTTGATGAGTCGTAACTCTCTAGTGTGACGCATCTGCGGTGTGTTATCGGATCGAACTCGGTTGCTCCACATCTTCCGCTTTGTTGCAGATGCGGTTTCGTGTGATAAAGGCTAAAAGATTGTCAAACGTCTACTTTGATCTCGTTATATTTTATCTTCTAAGCGATCTTTCTTCTATCACAACATTAAAATTTCTTTCTTCTTTAAACACTAACCTCGTTTTTCTTTCATTTATATATAGTCTGTGTTCTTTATTTGTCGTTTTTAACGCTTATAAACTAAAGGATAAGTTAGAGAACGTTTTCTCTCCTTCTCTCTGTTTAACGTTAGACAGAATATGATACAAACTGTAACCTTTATCTCATTCATCTCTCCGTTTAGCGTTAGATACAACATGATATAAACTGAAAAACAATTACACGAAATAATTTATTCTATTTTGTTTACATAATAACGTAAAATAAACTAAAAATATATAAAAATAATCGACTTAATCTTCCTCCATCTTGATTTATGGAACCGCTCTTTCATGTAAACACATTCGTTATATCGCGACATTCGACCTTGAACATCTGGCCATTTTCTTAGCTTTCAACTCTTTTAACTGATAATTTTCCTTTATAAATTGTTTCGTTTAGTAATTTATAAAGTATTTCGAGTAAAATAATCTATCAAAAAGGCTAGTTTTTGTCGTAAAATGCCTACTTTTATATAGTATCAATGGACGAATTTGAAAGTATAGAAATAACTGGACTAGAATTGATTTCTGTGTAGAATTTTCGATTTCTTTTCACTCATAAAACGTTTTTTTTTTTTTTTACACAGTAAACACCATTGGAAAAGCCCACATACCAGATGAATGGTATGTGGGATAACTGGAAGTACAGTACAATTTTAACAAGAGAGGATGAGGAACTTTAAGTGTTTTCAATGCAGCAAATCGGATCAGAAAACGAAAGTAATAACATCCTTGTAAATAATTTAATATCTTTCGACTTTCTTAAGAATGTTTCTACTTTATTTTCGTTTCTAAATATAGATTTTTTACGAAGTTTCAACTGTAAGAAACTACAAATTCCCTTTATACGGCTCGCATGTTATCAGGGGCAAAGTTAGGGGGGATCGGATGCGGATTTGGGGAGATTTAGCAGCGGATCTGGGGGCGCTTTACCCCCCTTTTGGAGATTTTTCCCGAGTAAAGCCAGGTAATTCGGTAGAAAAGAATTTTATGAGACGTATTCCTTTCCTTTCTGCGAACCTCCCTAGAGATTTCTGGACCCGCTACCGCACATTGTTCGTGGTATAATACGGTTAATTGTAGCTAAATCTTTAAAAAAATATGAATAATTTTCTGTTTTACAGGACTGAAAACGGTGCTGAAAAATTAAGAAAAATGCCATCTTCTTATTCTTGAAGCATCCTTCTCTTCTTAAATATTCTCCTATCCGCGGTGTTACGAGATGGATTTTTCTATATGTAATCCCGTAAAATATAATTAAAACCTGTTAAAAAATGGTTCCACTCGTATACAGAGGAGTTTCATTAATGAGCAGGTCAAAGGTCATTAGTAAATTAGTAATAATCTCGTGCAGTAGAAGGTACTTTTCCGAATCTCTAAGTTGAATGACATTCATCTCTCGGGAATTACTCAATTAATTATGCCGGAATAGTCACAAAATTAATCGAAAATAAATAATTTTAGCGGAAAAAATTACTCAAAGTTACATAAATGAACTTAATCACTACTAGAAATTAAAGTGATGGCGGGGGAACATCAGGATTCATCATTATACCCTTTATATATATAAATAAATATCGAAGAATATATATTAATTATACTTCATAAAAGAATAATAATGCTGTAGTTTTATAAATACTCATCTTTTAATTAATTATATTTAATTATATAAACGTTTAGAGCTCTAAATTGTACAGTACGAACATATGAATTGAGAGTGACCTCGATGAGGAGACGAGAAGATCGATTAGTTTAAATAATCGAAATATCGATTATTTAAAGAAATCGGAAATGATCTAATCTCTTACGTCACTATGAGATCATCTTTTGACAGTTTGAATCCAGTTAATTTGGAAGGGAACCTTTGATCCACGCTCCACGCTCCACGTCGCGTTAAAGATTCAGTCGCTTCCTGCCAAATAAGCGGATTAATTTAGGTTATTGATCTCACACGATAAGAATTTTGGAATAAATAATGATGTTAAATTAATAAATATTAATCTGAAATCTGGAAAAACTTCACGGAAAATCAATAAATTTAGTAGTTTTTTTTATTTTTCTAATTAATTTTTATGTAAGTCTTTTCGTCCGTATCTCTTCGCGGGAGATGCTGAGCGATTTCTTACTTTTTCCAGCATATTTTTTCGGGAAATTTTATAATTTAATTGATTAAATTCGATCTTGGTACTGTATTTTACTGTTTATTTTTGATTCACATCGTGAATTTACTGCTCGGTTCGTAAGAAAATGAGTGGTTTTTGTATTCAAATGGCAGACTCCACCTTTATCCGAATGCATCAACAAGCGAGTTACAAGGGAAAAAATCTTCCCAATTCGTATTCAAACTTGGTTCCAGGTCGAAAATTAAATTTGAAATTCTCATTAAACTAAAACAACAAAGAATTTAAACGAAAAACTGTCACCATTCCAAGCTTATGGCATGAAACTTATGTTTATACTTCGTTCCTTTGAGAGGAATTCTCTAAAAAGAACCCCCATTTAGCACTGTTTATAAGATAAATACATCTTCTAGGATAGAAAAATTCTGTTTTTTAATCATTTAAATATATAATAAACCCATTTGTAATTGATTTTTTTTCTTTAAACAGAACAGTCCGCAAGTATGTCCTTACGGCTTGTATGCGGAGCAGCTTTCCGGAACCGCATTTACAGCACCCAGAGAACACAATTTTCGAAGGTTTGTACACATTTTATTACTTTATCTCGTTAAAAAATTAGAAATTAATTAAGTTCTTGAACATAATTACGCTAAAATTTAATCGTTTTTAATCCTAAAACTGCTCTAAAATGAGCAGCAGTGTTGAAAATCCTCCTACCAAGTAGTAAGAAAGTTCGAATTTATAACGTGATTTTGAAATTATTCGTGTAAATTTTGGGTTATAAATTTAAAAATAAGTGTCATTTCCTCGAAATTACCAAAAACTACGTAATTTTTCAAGTGTATTTTTTAGAAAAATCAAAAAATTTATAAGTACTCACCAGCTTATATGATACTGATTCTACAGGTTACAATTATGAGGATCTTACGGGAATTTTGCAATTTGTCTTTACATTTTAAAGATTTTTTAAGATAAATTAAAAATTAAAGAACGTTTGAAAAATTAATTTTTAAAAATATATATATATTATTGACTGCACGATAAAAAGCTTTATGATAAGGTCGAACGAAGAGATAATTTCCAAGAGGATGGAAATGAAAAGAATGCAGATCGCATGAAGATAATAAGTAATGATGAATGGATTCGTAATTAAAATGGTGATTAAGCATTCTCTGTCTTAAATTTGCATAAAAAAACGCTAGGAAAACCTTAAATAAGTTCCAAAATTGCCACTTTACTAACGCTTAACTAAGCATATAACTTAATTATGCTAACTACGCGCTTGGTTGCATCCATCTAAACAAGCGAACATTTTGGGCATTAATGCCTCGTACCGGGCATTTACGTTGGATTAAATGTATACAACGGACAATTATCTTATGAATAATTAACATTATTCACGTGCCTGTTTATAAATTAAGTCAGTTTTCTTACTTTTATCTTCACTTTCCTTGTATGGATTCGTGCAGGGAGGAACGTTCATTTGTTATGCATATCTAAGCAAAATAAATTGGAAATTCGATTAAGAAGTGCGTCAGTTTGTCTTCACTCATTATAAGTAACGCTAAATCGCCTAACGTGAAGTGACTTCGATCCTTTCGTGTGTTTTCTGTTGTGTAAATCGAATCCCACACGTAATTTCTGTTGGTGGTGTTTATAATTCTGTAAATCTACAGCTTGTTTGCTCAGTTGAATATTATATACCATCATTTAGGGGATGTTTTTGATTATATACAATATATAAAATATCTCTTCACTCTCCAAAGTTTATTACTAACGGTATGAGTCACCATCCCTCACCAACCCATTAAGGATTGAACCCGTTAATCAACCATATACTGAAGACCATTTACAAGTAGCATCTACTAGATGACCAGTACAAAAACTGAAGATAACACCGAAAAAGATGGAGAGATTAGATTAAAGAAGACAGAATAGGAGACTGTGGAAGATGGTCCATGAAGGAAGATCGTGGGAAGACAAGGGGTGCTCAGGGCGCAACTGCACTCCTCTCCTGAGGATTTTCCCGAGTAGAGCCTATAAAAAATTATTAAAGCATGTTGTTTCCTTTCTGCACCCTTCTAAAGAGTTTTGGATCCGGATTGGTTTGGTTGATTTGTATATGCCAACGCGACACGCCGAGCGGGCTGACTGCGGAATGACTTTCTACGGAAAACTGGCCCCTGTTTGGGTAATACAAAGGTGAAGAAAATCCGGAAAACTCCATGTGACCGGGTGAGAACCCACGACCGACTACCACTGTTCCGTGGTTTCATCCATCCGACCACTGACGGGATCCAACTGTGTTGTAATAGGAAAGATGATGCTGACCAAAATTGCCATTCTAATTATTTAATTTATCTTCGGGTTTGATCTATGGCAAAAATAATAATTATTATAACATAAATAATTTTCTTGGTACCCCTAGTTGGCTGTACAGGATCAGACCTTCGGTCCTCCACAATCCTTTTAAGAAACTCGACAACGGAAACTTGACATACGAATGGAGTAAAAATGATCCTAATCCTAATCAGGTATTTTGATTAAATTATATATTTAGAAATATCTTATCTTATAAAACGTAGTACATTTTATATACCTTTTAACAGATGAGATGGTTGCCATTCGATATTCCCAATTCTAAACACGAGAAAGTGGACTTTGTGCAGGTAGGTGAACAGAAATTCTTCTTATTTACTTTAATTTGATAGTTTATAAATGTAATTACGAATGATATTTGTCCATTGTCCCATGCAACTTCATCGTATGTTAGCCCCAATCTAGCCCCATCTTTAATCATATTTTCCTCTTGATTATACAGATATCTTTTAAATCAGGTTTAAAAATAAGTAACTTGGGTTAAATATATATTTATATAATCAGTACTTAATGAATTTTAACTGTATTTTAAATTTTTTTTCAATAATTCCAATTAAAACTGTCTACTTAAGTACATTATACTCAATTAATTATTGGAAAATTGTCATCTCTTCGCTGTACTTAAACAGAATTATATCGAAAATGTAAATGATCGAGTGTCTTAATTAAACTAAGGATTTATCTAAGGAATTCAGAAATCCTCTTTAACAATAAATAAACAAATAAATAATTCTTAACTAATGAATTGAATGAGTCATTAGCGATTAAGATTTGTTAACAATAAAATTTTGAGTTTTAAGTAATCCAAATGATTTAAACTTCTGTTGTAATTAAACTTTTAAAGTGTCTGGATATTTATTTATGTATCATTCTAATTATTTAGGGTCTAAATACTCTCTGTGGGGCTGGCGAAGCGAAGAGTAGACACGGTTGTGCGATACATATTTACTGCTGTAATGCCTCTATGAAAAACAAGTATGAGTGTCGTTTAAGTGTTTCGTGGTAAATGTTAAAAGATTTCAATTGTTTAAATTAATTTTTCACTTTTGTTTTAGGTGTTTCTATAACGCTGATGGTGACTTTTTAATAGGTAAATTAGTTTAATTAAATTATTTTCATTTTTTTTTATATTTTAACAAAATAATCTCGTATAATTAGCCCAAATAAGATAAGTAATCCATTGGCAATTAGCCAAGAATGTTCCATATCTTTTATAATTGGTTTGAAATTAGCAAAACTATTTTAAATTGTGATAATATCCATCTTCTATACTATTGCCAATCTACAGGCACTAAGAGGGCCTTTGTTCATACCCATCGTAGGTTTGGAAATGCCTATAAGGGAGTTGTTGGGTGTTGAAGAACGGAATGGGGAGATCTGCTAAGGAGGAATGCCTCCCGGGAAGTCTTTTATGGAAAACTGGCCCCCTATTTAGGTGTTACAAACGTGAAGTAAACCCGAAAAACTCCACGTTGGCCAAAAGCGAACCCACTACCTACTACCAGTGCTCTGTGGTTTTCATTCACTCGGCCACTGATGGGCCATAACGTCTAGAGCTCTACCATATCTATGCCATATCGTACAATGAATAAATTGTTATAATAAATTAATTACTTTTTAATTGCCTCTTTCTGGTTTTCCTCAAATTCTCTTTTAAGAAATGGTGTATCATACTTTTTGAAGGAAAAATTGAAGCAGAGTGTTTAGATGGAATGAAGGAGAAGACATCTTATTGTGTGATCGATAGCTGCTCATGTAAAGAAAAACAGTAGAAAAATAACTTCCTATCCACCAACCTATCAAATTTCCAAAAAATAGACGTGTGATATACATTATTTCAAATGTAAAATGGAGTATGAAATATCCCTAAAGTTGGGCATCATGAAATAATTGTATTCTGAATGTACTGTAAACCTATATAACTGAAAAATAAAAAGTTATCGTTAAGATTGATTGTTTGGTTTGGTGAAATATGGCGATCTGCCAAGGGGAGATGCCTCTCGTTTAAAAATATATTTCGGTTAATTGATTTTTGGGCTTACGTGTACGTTTGAAAAATTTATCTTATAGTAAAAATTTAAAAGTTAATTTTTATGATCTTTTCAGTTCCTCAGAAAGGCAATTTGTTTATCACCACCGAATTTGGCAGGATGCTGGTGAAGCCAAATGAGATCTGTGTCATCCAGGTATGACAAGTACAGTGATCGTTTATCAATTCTTAAGTCTATGTGTAGATGTATGATATATAAAGTGAATGTAATTGCATATAGCTCTAGAGAAAAATTAAAAAGAAAATTAGTTTTGTTTCCATTCTTTCCAACATGAAATTTTGGCAGCTTTATAACAAAAGGTATTTAAAAGTAAGATTTAATTAGTGGTAATTTTGGCTTTTATTAAAGAAGTAGAGGTCTGAACAGTAATTGGTCGAAGAATTTAAAAACGATTGAAAATTACTGTTTTTAAATTCCTCGACCAATCCCCGTTCAGACAATCTTATTTTTAACCAATCAAATCATGTAAAGGATTTCAAACTCGCTGTGAATTTTATAAAATGAACTGCTTAAAAATTTGAAAAATAGAATAAAATCACAATAATTTTTAATGTTAAAACCAAAAAATTACTCTATTCTGTTCACAGCAAGGTATGAGATTCAGTGTCAAGGTAGAGGGGCAGAGCAGAGGATACATCTTAGAAGTATACGATAATCACTTTGTTCTTCCAAATCTTGGTCCTATAGGTAACGTATACTTTTCAAAACTCAACATTAAATCCTTTCAAACAATTAATTATATTTTATCGTTCGAAATAGGTGCTAACGGGTTAGCAAATCCTAGAGATTTCCTCACACCTACTGCTTGGTTTGAGGACGTAGAGGAGAGTTATTCCATTATCAGCAAGTATCAAGGAAAGCTATTTATAGCAGAACAGGTATTCAATATTCAGTATAATATAAAATTTAGTAAATTTTATAACAGAAATCATAAAAATTCTGATAGGATCACTCTCCGTTTGATGTGGTAGCTTGGCATGGAAATTATGCTCCTTACAAGTACAATCTCGCCTATTTTAATACTGTTAATACCGTTTCTTTCGATCATTCAGTGAGTTACTATGTTTGTCCATTTCTTTATTGTTAGACGTTGGTTCTCATACGTTAATGTAACAGGATCCCTCGATTTTTACTGTATTGACGTGCACTTCATCTAAACCCGGAGTGGGCATTGCTGACTTTGTTATATTCCCTCCTCGATGGTCTGTAGCAGAACACACTTTCCGACCACCATATTTTCATCGTAAGAACTGATTTAAGTTAGCTAATTCTACTTTTTAAAATTGGTTTAACATCTTACATACGTTCTACTTGTAGGTAACTGCATGAGCGAATTTATGGGTTTAATACAAGGAGCCTACGAAGCCAAAGTAATTATGAGGTTCTTTTGTATCACATCACTAGGTACTGTGCTCAAATGATCGTATTGTTTCAGGAGACAGGATTTTTGCCAGGAGGAGCCACTTTGCACAGCATGATGACTCCTCACGGCCCCGATAACGAGTGTTTCAGGAAGAGTAGCAATGCCCATTTGGTTCCTGAAAGAGTGGCCGATGGCACAATGGTACTTGAAAACAAAATTGCAATGTATTTTCTCTGAAGAATTTTAACATTTTTTTCATTATATTTTAGGCTTTCATGTTTGAAAGTTCTCTGGGTTTGGCCATAACTCAATGGGGAGAAAAGACGTGTCAAAAATTGGATTGCGATTATTACAAATGCTGGCAAAAATTAAAGAAGCACTTTAACCCTAACTGGAAACCGGAAAGTAAGATATTTTTTGAAATATTTACAGTATATAGTGAAAAATTCTTCAATAAAATGATTATTATATAGCTAAGTAATGGCGAGTGAAGCTTAAATTTCGGAATCTGTTCCTGTATTTGGATTAAAGATCATTCCACTCGAAGAACAATGAAGTGGATTTTAACAAGAAAAAGTTTGTATTTTGTTACCTTAAACATTAAAAGTAACAATAAATTGGATAATAAAAGAGCGATATTTGTTAAAAGTAACTTTTATTCAAAGATATTTATTATGTACGCCCATTTAAATTCACCCATCATTGATCGAATGGATAACACTGAACGATTTGGTCGTGGATTCGAGACTCACCAACGGGCTTGTCGCGTGAAGTTTCCATATTTTCTTCACTTAAACAGGGGTCAGTTTCCTGTAGAAAGTTCTTCTAGGAGGACCCTTTGGTGGATTGCCCATATGTTGTGTTGCATTCAAATTTATAGATATTTTAATGGTAGGTTTTATATTAAAATTCAATTTAGATGACGTTAAATAGCGATAAAATTGTAAACGTATACACAAAATCAAAATATAAATTATGTTTAAGTATAAATGTAGCGAAAACTGCTCATTTTACAAAAGAAAGTGATAAATTTTATGGCAAGACAGTAAGATTACTCATTGTTCTTTCCATTTTTACATAAAGAAATTAAGCAAACGCTTCACTTTAGAATGAAACAATTTCACTTTCCTCAAGTAATTAATTACAATTAAATTAACTGGCGTGAACAGAGTAACGACCACACTTCTCAACTAACGATTCTAAAAGAAAATTAACCAATTTAAACTGGTGTCAGCATTGTAAACAATTTTAGCTTAAATTTAAGTAATTTGTTTAAATAATTAATCGAATTAATTTTTTTAAAATTTAAATACAATACATTTTCTTATTTTATCAACAAGCCAATCCCTTGGCATTTCGAAAAATCGTTGTCTTTTAACAGCGGTCTCCATTATCAAATGGTGATTAATGAATGCTCCGGGAATAAGTTGAAATGATCAAGAAAATGGATTCTTTTATTGACTTACACATTTTGAATCGTAAAATATCGTGGTTTAATTATTAATTTAAATATTTAATGTGGTTATAGACTTTTTAATGTTTCTATAATTGTGTATTGCATTACAATTTTAGAACAAATTACGAAGAAACAAAAATCATATTTTAATTCTTGTCATTTGACATTATTCCATTGAAAATCCTCAATATTCAATGTTTAATTCTCTTTTTATCCCTCCATTTCATTGATTTTATAATGTTTTTGTAAACACTCTTCTTTATTTCAATGTTCTTCGGGTTATAATCACGTATTGAAGATTATTTTTACTCTTTAATGGGACAAGAACGTATTGCAACAAAGAAGAATATGTTTATAAAAACATTATAAAGTCAATTAATTAACTGAAGAGCTTTAATGAAAGGCACATCTTTACTTATGTATCGCGAAGAACTTTAATTCCTTCGTATAAACCACTAACTGTTTTGATTTCTGCACATCCAAAATTGGATCTTAGAATCAAATTTCCAATTGAAGCAAATTTTCTTGAAGGTAACATTGAGATTAATCATTATGCCAAACGTAAAAAAATGATTATAGGATCCGTGTGGTTAATAAATTTCCATAATTAAACCATTAGAGTTTGTGAATCTTTATGTTTTAACTATATAAATGCAACTCGACTCCAATAGAACTTTAACAAATTAGTGTCATCGTTCATTTACATGCAATTGAAGCAGTTTTTGGTGTTGCAAAGACGTTTTCATGAGGATGAAGACGCATAATAGTGCCATGATCAACTCTCTTCAATAGTGGCAAGAATGGAAAAATGAAAAAATATACTTTTTAGCAATTTTTAAGAACGAAGACTTTAGTCTTGTATTATTATTAATCCCTAATACCTATATTTCTACTTTTTCTGCATTTTCTTACTATATATTAAATACTTAGTAATTTTATTTTCTAAATTAAAACTTTATATATTTCGCCACCAGATAGCAGCACGATCGCTATAAATAAAATTATATTTTTTAAAATATTTCACCAATTTAATTATAAATATTAATTTTAATTAACTCGATATTTAAAAAATAAAATTAATATATTTTAATTTAATTTTAAAAATTATTATCGAATTAAAAAAACATGTTTTGATGAAATAACATTACTTAACATTCTAAAAATGGTCGAAGCGAAAAGTTAACAAAATCATTAATAAAATTTTATTAATTTTATGCCTTACGTTCTTTATACAAACTATAAATATTTTAAATATTTTTAAAATCTTCGTCTCTTTAGAAACTGCACAATTTTACGTCATTTTTTAAAATTTCTACGTCGTAAAACAGAACGGATGACGTCAGATTGACGTAAAAGTGTACATTTTACGAACGAACCGAACATGGATACTGTCTAATGATATAAAGCTCTCAAAATTTAACAGAAATAATCAATTTTTATGATGATTTTACTCAACTTTACACATGTTTAATAACAAAATAACAATTTAAAAACAATAATATATTCTTAAATTTTATTTTAATTTAGATACAATCGATATTCTGCAGTGAGAATCCAAGAATTAAAGTCGGTCCCGAACACAAAACTCTTTATAAAATTTATTTGAGCGCATTTAATATGCAAATAACTAATTTATTTTGGCTTTTTTCTTGTTTTACCAAACATTCTTTACCAATTTAAAATATATTTTATAAATATTCATTAATTGGATCGTTATTTAGAATTAACCTCGCTTTACGACCGCTCGCTTTATAACCGCTGTTTTATGAATGCGTAATTTATTTTTATTATGATAATTAGAGAAACTATAATTAAGAATATTTCGAGATAAACACTTCTGTATTATGTTATGTTTGTTAATAAATTAAATCCTGGGGAACATAATTTCAATTTATGAGGTATAAATCTATGGTATATCGGGGTTCGATTTACGACGGTTCTCAACGATGGTTATCAATGAAGATTAGGTCATAAAAGTAGAATCATGATGTATATGTAATAGTAATCCATTCCAGAGTTTAGAATTACGGTAAAATATGTTAATTTTTTACCATTTACCATATGCATTTATCATGCAATATAGTTTTAACTTAGAGTGATTCACGCGATTTATGAACTATTTTTAAATTATGATGAGTGAATATCGAAACATTTGAAAGAGCATCAAAGATTATAAATTATTTAAGTTATTTCATAAAATTTTTTTATAAAGAGAGCGAATGTAAAGCCTCTTTTAGCGAAGCGCTCACCAATAGGCTCTATATGAAGCCTCATTAGAAAACTCCTGCCATAAATTATGTAATTTTTTTATGTTTTATGCCAATTATCTTATTTTACAAGCTTTAAAGTAATACGACGAGATGCTTATAATATATTTTATTATTATTATTTTTTTAATGATTTAACTTAGNAACGACGAGATAATTTCCAAGAGGATGGAAATGAAAAGAATGCAGATCGCATGAAGATAATAAGTAATGATGAATGGATTCGTAATTAAAATGGTGATTAAGCATTCTCTGTCTTAAATTTGCATAAAAAAACGCTAGGAAAACCTTAAATAAGTTCCAAAATTGCCACTTTACTAACGCTTAACTAAGCATATAACTTAATTATGCTAACTACGCGCTTGGTTGCATCCATCTAAACAAGCGAACATTTTGGGCATTAATGCCTCGTACCGGGCATTTACGTTGGATTAAATGTATACAACGGACAATTATCTTATGAATAATTAACATTATTCACGTGCCTGTTTATAAATTAAGTCAGTTTTCTTACTTTTATCTTCACTTTCCTTGTATGGATTCGTGCAGGGAGGAACGTTCATTTGTTATGCATATCTAAGCAAAATAAATTGGAAATTCGATTAAGAAGTGCGTCAGTTTGTCTTCACTCATTATAAGTAACGCTAAATCGCCTAACGTGAAGTGACTTCGATCCTTTCGTGTGTCTTCTGTTGTGTAAATCGAATCCCACACGTAATTTCTGTTGGTGGTGTTTATAATTCTGTAAATCTACAGCTTGTTTGCTCAGTTGAATATTATATACCATCATTTAGGGGATGTTTTTGATTATATACAATATATAAAATATCTCTTCACTCTCCAAAGTTTATTACTAACGGTATGAGTCACCATCCCTCACCAACCCATTAAGGATTGAACCCGTTAATCAACCATATACTGAAGACCATTTACAAGTAGCATCTACTAGATGACCAGTACAAAAACTGAAGATAACACCGAAAAAGATGGAGAGATTAGATTAAAGAAGACAGAATAGGAGACTGTGGAAGATGGTCCATGAAGGAAGATCGTGGGAAGACAAGGGGTGCTCAGGGCGCAACTGCACTCCTCTCCTGAGGATTTTCCCGAGTAGAGCCTATAAAAAATTATTAAAGCATGTTGTTTCCTTTCTGCACCCTTCTAAAGAGTTTTGGATCCGGATTGGTTTGGTTGATTTGTATATGCCAACGCGACACGCCGAGCGGGCTGACTGCGGAATGACTTTCTACGGAAAACTGGCCCCTGTTTGGGTAATACAAAGGTGAAGAAAATCCGGAAAACTCCATGTGACTGGGTGAGAACCCACGACCGACTACCACTGTTCCGTGGTTTCATCCATCCGACCACTGACGGGATCCAACTGCGTTGTAATAGGAAAGATGATGCTGACCAAAATTGCCATTCTAATTATTTAATTTATCTTCGGGTTTGATCTATGGCAAAAATAATAATTATTATAACATAAATAATTTTCTTGGTACCCTAGTTGGCTGTACAGGATCAGACCTTCGGTCCTCCACAATCCTTTTAAGAAACTCGACAACGGAAACTTGACATACGAATGGAGTAAAAATGATCCTAATCCTAATCAGGTATTTTGATTAAATTATATATTTAGAAATATCTTATCTTATAAAACGTAGTACATTTTATATACCTTTTAACAGATGAGATGGTTGCCATTCGATATTCCCAATTCTAAACACGAGAAAGTGGACTTTGTGCAGGTAGGTGAACAGAAATTCTTCTTATTTACTTTAATTTGATAGTTTATAAATGTAATTACGAATGATATTTGTCCATTGTCCCATGCAACTTCATCGTATGTTAGCCCCAATCTAGCCCCATCTTTAATCATATTTTCCTCTTGATTATACAGATATCTTTTAAATCAGGTTTAAAAATAAGTAACTTGGGTTAAATATATATTTATATAATCAGTACTTAATGAATTTTAACTGTATTTTAAATTTTTTTTCAATAATTCCAATTAAAACTGTCTACTTAAGTACATTATACTCAATTAATTATTGGAAAATTGTCATCTCTTCGCTGTACTTAAACAGAATTATATCGAAAATGTAAATGATCGAGTGTCTTAATTAAACTAAGGATTTATCTAAGGAATTCAGAAATCCTCTTTAACAATAAATAAACAAATAAATAATTCTTAACTAATGAATTGAATGAGTCATTAGCGATTAAGATTTGTTAACAATAAAATTTTGAGTTTTAAGTAATCCAAATGATTTAAACTTCTGTTGTAATTAAACTTTTAAAGTGTCTGGATATTTATTTATGTATCATTCTAATTATTTAGGGTCTAAATACTCTCTGTGGGGCTGGCGAAGCGAAGAGTAGACACGGTTGTGCGATACATATTTACTGCTGTAATGCCTCTATGAAAAACAAGTATGAGTGTCGTTTAAGTGTTTCGTGGTAAATGTTAAAAGATTTCAATTGTTTAAATTAATTTTTCACTTTTGTTTTAGGTGTTTCTATAACGCTGATGGTGACTTTTTAATAGGTAAATTAGTTTAATTAAATTATTTTCATTTTTTTTTATATTTTAACAAAATAATCTCGTATAATTAGCCCAAATAAGATAAGTAATCCATTGGCAATTAGCCAAGAATGTTCCATATCTTTTATAATTGGTTTGAAATTAGCAAAACTATTTTAAATTGTGATAATATCCATCTTCTATACTATTGCCAATCTACAGGCACTAAGAGGGCCTTTGTTCATACCCATCGTAGGTTTGGAAATGCCTATAAGGGAGTTGTTGGGTGTTGAAGAACGGAATGGGGAGATCTGCTAAGGAGGAATGCCTCCCGGGAAGTCTTTTATGGAAAACTGGCCCCCTATTTAGGTGTTACAAACGTGAAGTAAACCCGAAAAACTCCACGTTGGCCAAAAGCGAACCCACTACCTACTACCAGTGCTCTGTGGTTTTCATTCACTCGGCCACTGATGGGCCATAACGTCTAGAGCTCTACCATATCTATGCCATATCGTACAATGAATAAATTGTTATAATAAATTAATTACTTTTTAATTGCCTCTTTCTGGTTTTCCTCAAATTCTCTTTTAAGAAATGGTGTATCATACTTTTTGAAGGAAAAATTGAAGCAGAGTGTTTAGATGGAATGAAGGAGAAGACATCTTATTGTGTGATCGATAGCTGCTCATGTAAAGAAAAACAGTAGAAAAATAACTTCCTATCCACCAACCTATCAAATTTCCAAAAAAATAGACGTGTGATATACATTATTTCAAATGTAAAATGGAGTATGAAATATCCCTAAAGTTGGGCATCATGAAATAATTGTATTCTGAATGTACTGTAAACCTATATAACTGAAAAATAAAAAGTTATCGTTAACATTGATTGTTTGGTTTGGTGAAATATGGCGATCTGCCAAGGGGAGATGCCTCTCGTTTAAAAATATATTTCGGTTAATTGATTTTTGGGCTTACGTGTACGTTTGAAAAATTTATCTTATAGTAAAAATTTAAAAGTTAATTTTTATGATCTTTTCAGTTCCTCAGAAAGGCAATTTGTTTATCACCACCGAATTTGGCAGGATGCTGGTGAAGCCAAATGAGATCTGTGTCATCCAGGTATGACAAGTACAGTGATCGTTTATCAATTCTTAAGTCTATGTGTAGATGTATGATATATAAAGTGAATGTAATTGCATATAGCTCTAGAGAAAAATTAAAAAGAAAATTAGTTTTGTTTCCATTCTTTCCAACATGAAATTTTGGCAGCTTTATAACAAAAGGTATTTAAAAGTAAGATTTAATTAGTGGTAATTTTGGCTTTTATTAAAGAAGTAGAGGTCTGAACAGTAATTGGTCGAAGAATTTAAAAACGATTGAAAATTACTGTTTTTAAATTCCTCGACCAATCCCCGTTCAGACAATCTTATTTTTAACCAATCAAATCATGTAAAGGATTTCAAACTCGCTGTGAATTTTATAAAATGAACTGCTTAAAAATTTGAAAAATAGAATAAAATCACAATAATTTTTAATGTTAAAACCAAAAAATTACTCTATTCTGTTCACAGCAAGGTATGAGATTCAGTGTCAAGGTAGAGGGGCAGAGCAGAGGATACATCTTAGAAGTATACGATAATCACTTTGTTCTTCCAAATCTTGGTCCTATAGGTAACGTATACTTTTCAAAACTCAACATTAAATCCTTTCAAACAATTAATTATATTTTATCGTTCGAAATAGGTGCTAACGGGTTAGCAAATCCTAGAGATTTCCTCACACCTACTGCTTGGTTTGAGGACGTAGAGGAGAGTTATTCCATTATCAGCAAGTATCAAGGAAAGCTATTTATAGCAGAACAGGTATTCAATATTCAGTATAATATAAAATTTAGTAAATTTTATAACAGAAATCATAAAAATTCTGATAGGATCACTCTCCGTTTGATGTGGTAGCTTGGCATGGAAATTATGCTCCTTACAAGTACAATCTCGCCTATTTTAATACTGTTAATACCGTTTCTTTCGATCATTCAGTGAGTTACTATGTTTGTCCATTTCTTTATTGTTAGACGTTGGTTCTCATACGTTAATGTAACAGGATCCCTCGATTTTTACTGTATTGACGTGCACTTCATCTAAACCCGGAGTGGGCATTGCTGACTTTGTTATATTCCCTCCTCGATGGTCTGTAGCAGAACACACTTTCCGACCACCATATTTTCATCGTAAGAACTGATTTAAGTTAGCTAATTCTACTTTTTAAAATTGGTTTAACATCTTACATACGTTCTACTTGTAGGTAACTGCATGAGCGAATTTATGGGTTTAATACAAGGAGCCTACGAAGCCAAAGTAATTATGAGGTTCTTTTGTATCACATCACTAGGTACTGTGCTCAAATGATCGTATTGTTTCAGGAGACAGGATTTTTGCCAGGAGGAGCCACTTTGCACAGCATGATGACTCCTCACGGCCCCGATAACGAGTGTTTCAGGAAGAGTAGCAATGCCCATTTGGTTCCTGAAAGAGTGGCCGATGGCACAATGGTACTTGAAAACAAAATTGCAATGTATTTTCTCTGAAGAATTTTAACATTTTTTTCATTATATTTTAGGCTTTCATGTTTGAAAGTTCTCTGGGTTTGGCCATAACTCAATGGGGAGAAAAGACGTGTCAAAAATTGGATTGCGATTATTACAAATGCTGGCAAAAATTAAAGAAGCACTTTAACCCTAACTGGAAACCGGAAAGTAAGATATTTTTTGAAATATTTACAGTATATAGTGAAAAATTCTTCAATAAAATGATTATTATATAGCTAAGTAATGGCGAGTGAAGCTTAAATTTCGGAATCTGTTCCTGTATTTGGATTAAAGATCATTCCACTCGAAGAACAATGAAGTGGATTTTAACAAGAAAAAGTTTGTATTTTGTTACCTTAAACATTAAAAGTAACAATAAATTGGATAATAAAAGAGCGATATTTGTTAAAAGTAACTTTTATTCAAAGATATTTATTATGTACGCCCATTTAAATTCACCCATCATTGATCGAATGGATAACACTGAACGATTTGGTCGTGGATTCGAGACTCACCAACGGGCTTGTCGCGTGAAGTTTCCATATTTTCTTCACTTAAACAGGGGTCAGTTTCCTGTAGAAAGTTCTTCTAGGAGGACCCTTTGGTGGATTGCCCATATGTTGTGTTGCATTCAAATTTATAGATATTTTAATGGTAGGTTTTATATTAAAATTCAATTTAGATGACGTTAAATAGCGATAAAATTGTAAACGTATACACAAAATCAAAATATAAATTATGTTTAAGTATAAATGTAGCGAAAACTGCTCATTTTACAAAAGAAAGTGATAAATTTTATGGCAAGACAGTAAGATTACTCATTGTTCTTTCCATTTTTACATAAAGAAATTAAGCAAACGCTTCACTTTAGAATGAAACAATTTCACTTTCCTCAAGTAATTAATTACAATTAAATTAACTGGCGTGAACAGAGTAACGACCACACTTCTCAACTAACGATTCTAAAAGAAAATTAACCAATTTAAACTGGTGTCAGCATTGTAAACAATTTTAGCTTAAATTTAAGTAATTTGTTTAAATAATTAATCGAATTAATTTTTTTAAAATTTAAATACAATACATTTTATTTTATCAACAAGCCAATCCCTTGGCATTTCGAAAAATCGTTGTCTTTTAACAGCGGTCTCCATTATCAAATGGTGATTAATGAATGCTCCGGGAATAAGTTGAAATGATCAAGAAAATGGATTCTTTTATTGACTTACACATTTTGAATCGTAAAATATCGTGGTTTAATTATTAATTTAAATATTTAATGTGGTTATAGACTTTTTAATGTTTCTATAATTGTGTATTGCATTACAATTTTAGAACAAATTACGAAGAAACAAAAATCATATTTTAATTCTTGTCATTTGACATTATTCCATTGAAAATCCTCAATATTCAATGTTTAATTCTCTTTTTATCCCTCCATTTCATTGATTTTATAATGTTTTTGTAAACACTCTTCTTTATTTCAATGTTCTTCGGGTTATAATCACGTATTGAAGATTATTTTTACTCTTTAATGGGACAAGAACGTATTGCAACAAAGAAGAATATGTTTATAAAAACATTATAAAGTCAATTAATTAACTGAAGAGCTTTAATGAAAGGCACATCTTTACTTATGTATCGCGAAGAACTTTAATTCCTTCGTATAAACCACTAACTGTTTTGATTTCTGCACATCCAAAATTGGATCTTAGAATCAAATTTCCAATTGAAGCAAATTTTCTTGAAGGTAACATTGAGATTAATCATTATGCCAAACGTAAAAAAATGATTATAGGATCCGTGTGGTTAATAAATTTCCATAATTAAACCATTAGAGTTTGTGAATCTTTATGTTTTAACTATATAAATGCAACTCGACTCCAATAGAACTTTAACAAATTAGTGTCATCGTTCATTTACATGCAATTGAAGCAGTTTTTGGTGTTGCAAAGACGTTTTCATGAGGATGAAGACGCATAATAGTGCCATGATCAACTCTCTTCAATAGTGGCAAGAATGGAAAAATGAAAAAATATACTTTTTAGCAATTTTTAAGAACGAAGACTTTAGTCTTGTATTATTATTAATCCCTAATACCTATATTTCTACTTTTTCTGCATTTTCTTACTATATATTAAATACTTAGTAATTTTATTTTCTAAATTAAAACTTTATATATTTCTACTTGTAGGTAACTGCATGAGCGAATTTATGGGTTTAATACAAGGAGCCTACGAAGCCAAAGTAATTATGAGGTTCTATTGTATCACATCACTAGGTACTGTGCTCAAATGATCGTATTGTTTCAGGAGACAGGATTTTTGCCAGGAGGAGCCACTTTGCACAGCATGATGACTCCTCACGGCCCCGATAACGAGTGTTTCAGGAAGAGTAGCAATGCCCATTTGGTTCCTGAAAGAGTGGCCGATGGCACAATGGTACTTGAAAACAAAATTGCAATGTATTTTCTCTGAAGAATTTTAACATTTTTTTCATTATATTTTAGGCTTTCATGTTTGAAAGTTCTCTGGGTTTGGCCATAACTCAATGGGGAGAAAAGACGTGTCAAAAATTGGATTGCGATTATTACAAATGCTGGCAAAAATTAAAGAAGCACTTTAACCCTAACTGGAAACCGGAAAGTAAGATATTTTTTGAAATATTTACAGTATATAGTGAAAAATTCTTCAATAAAATGATTATTATATAGCTAAGTAATGGCGAGTGAAGCTTAAATTTCGGAATCTGTTCCTGTATTTGGATTAAAGATCATTCCACTCGAAGAACAATGAAGTGGATTTTAACAAGAAAAAGTTTGTATTTTGTTACCTTAAACATTAAAAGTAACAATAAATTGGATAATAAAAGAGCGATATTTGTTAAAAGTAACTTTTATTCAAAGATATTTATTATGTACGCCCATTTAAATTCACCCATCATTGATCGAATGGATAACACTGAACGATTTGGTCGTGGATTCGAGACTCACCAACGGGCTTGTCGCGTGAAGTTTCCATATTTTCTTCACTTAAACAGGGGTCAGTTTCCTGTAGAAAGTTCTTCTAGGAGGACCCTTTGGTGGATTGCCCATATGTTGTGTTGCATTCAAATTTATAGATATTTTAATGGTAGGTTTTATATTAAAATTCAATTTAGATGACGTTAAATAGCGATAAAATTGTAAACGTATACACAAAATCAAAATATAAATTATGTTTAAGTATAAATGTAGCGAAAACTGCTCATTTTACAAAAGAAAGTGATAAATTTTATGGCAAGACAGTAAGATTACTCATTGTTCTTTCCATTTTTACATAAAGAAATTAAGCAAACGCTTCACTTTAGAATGAAACAATTTCACTTTCCTCAAGTAATTAATTACAATTAAATTAACTGGCGTGAACAGAGTAACGACCACACTTCTCAACTAACGATTCTAAAAGAAAATTAACCAATTTAAACTGGTGTCAGCATTGTAAACAATTTTAGCTTAAATTTAAGTAATTTGTTTAAATAANCCCGAAGATAAAACAGTTTGCTGGGCATTTTATAAAATTTGGCAAAAGCTAATTTGAAGTAAAAATGATCAATCGCAACTAAGGAATTAATAATTAAGTAATTCAATTAAAAATTTTTAATTAAATTTTTAAATACATATTTATATAAATTAAGTAAGCCGTACACAGCGAAGACGTAAGGGTTAATTTTAAAGTTTTTAAAATTTAAAAGTAGCGTCAATTAAACAGGGTGAAAAATCATTTAATTCGTTTATTATGCGCCGCCCTTTCTCTTTATTAAAATTAGTAGAAACGCCTCTTCAAATGAGCATTTGAAAAGATGGCGGTTAATTTCGGAAGCGGTTTTTAAGAAAAATGCTGATGTCAAGTTCGAGTAAGCCAAAAATTCTAATTAAACAACGTTTCAATTTTCGCTCCTACTTCCACGTAATTAATTAATTCGAAGAGAGCTCCGCCGACTTTCAATAATTGTTAAAATATCAAAAGTATGAATATTCCTTCCGGTTACAAATTTGTTTGTTAGTCATCGAATTAAACGTGATTAATACATTAAAATTTAATTAATGCAAAATTGCTATATGGAAAATTATACACGCGCCAATATAAAAGAGTTTATGTGCTTTTATTTAAAATTTAAAAAAAAATGAAAAATAAAATTAAAAAAAACATCAAAAATCTCAGGTGGCGCTTCTTCTCCGTGAACTCGTTCACTGTTGTTCCACATTGCATTCCATGCTTCGATAATCTCGTGGATTTTTGCTAATTTCTTCGATTCCGAACGACCATGCCGAAAAATAAAGGTAAGATTTTGTGTTAATTAAACGGGATTTCGGTACAGTTTTGCAGAAATTGAGTAATTTGGTAGAATTGCGACGTTTTGCCGCGAAACAATGGTGAAATCTTGTAACGTTGTATATACGTAGGGTCAATGGGCGATGATGTTTCCATTTATTACTTATTATACCGTTCATAATTTAATATACCATTACTTACGAACGTATGGCGGGGGTTATAAGCTTTATAATTAAGTAATAGTTTATTATACGAATTGTTTATTATTATTATTTTTTTCTCGACGATTGGATGTGATCACATGCAGATTGAATGAAGCAAAATTGTGTAATATATTTATTTCTGTGTGTTGCAGAATATCTGTGTATGATGTAGAAATTCCTATGCAGGTAATGTATAAGATACCTGATTGGCGTAAGTAAAATTGCAGTTCTGAATGAGGGATTTGGACTCCCAAATTTTAGACTCCTGTAGAGATTAATGAGGTCAAAGGGATAGCCTCTTATGAGTCTACAGTGGTGGTTCTTAACTAATGTTCTACAAACCTGCCTCGAGTATACCACAAAAAGAAAGATTTTAATTTACTACAAAATATTACCGTATTTGTAAACAATGTGGTGTTTACAAATTATCTACATTTATCTGCCACAGATAGTTACGAAAAGTATATGGTGTCCCATGGCCTCTGAATGGTCAAGAACTGCCAGTCTGCAGTTTGAGATCTTGACCGTCTCGTTTGGAGCTGTGGGGTAGCATTTGGGACGTTTGTGTAAGCATATGTGTGTAGAGTACTTACAAGTAACTTCTATGTATTTTGGTGTTAACTTGCTGTATATTTACTTGTAATGGCAAAAATATATAGAAAAATTTGAGAAATAAGTTTGTAAAAAATGAATGGTCAGGTTTATAAGTTATAGCTGATCAAATTCGTTTCTTGAAAAATAATTTTGAAGCAGAAAGGAATTTCTACATAATATGTGATATAAGAATATATGAAAGAATATTTAACTGTTTTGTTTTTTATTCTGGTGCCATTTTTGGTATGTAGTTCCCCCACATTAATAAAGATACTATGTACATAAAATGATTAATTAAATTCTCATTTATTCTTCTTCAATTTAGGAAATATTTTTTTATTTTAAGAGACGTTAAAAATTTCCTTAAACAGTTAGTGAGTAAAATTCTCAATGACAATTTGATAATTAGCATTGAGATTAAATCTGGTTTCCTTGCTGCAGAAGCATTGGACGAGAAGGCACTAAGTAGTAATGATTATTTCTTTTGTGTTGTTCAAGAATTAGAACTAGCCATAAAGAATTGCACGTTGAAACGAAAAGAGTTTTGATTGAAAAGAACGTAGTGATTTAATCCATATTAAAACTGTATATGCATTTATGGCATATATAAAATATACAATTTCTAAGTAACGTTTTGAAGAATGGTTAATCATATTGAAGCTTTTAGTTTTATCTTCCCCAGCATTACATACCATCTTTGTTTTAGAAAGTACAGTACAGCTCTTCCTTGACAGTCCGACAGGTATGGGACCAAAGGGGTGTTGGATTACCGAAAATAATTACATATTTTGCATTGTTTTGCTAGCAGTAGCTTACAATATTCCCTACTCGAACTGTTTGAACAGAACTGCTTACAGAAGACACATGAAATGTGTCATCGTGTAAGAATTGGATGGGAAGATTCACATTGCGACATATTTCTGTGCAAGCAGACACATAACGGGGATGGGTACCTTGACGGGAGGTGTGTCAGACTACTGAGTATGTCGGATTAAAAAACGTCAGACTATCAAGGGTGAGCTGTATTTCTATTACTTATTAAAGTGGGTGAATTTGTTTTTATAATCTTTGTACACATTTAGATGATTAAAACTGTTAACAATAAAATTAAAGAGAGACGTCGATTAAACTCTGCAAGAGAAAGAAAAGATGTTCGACATCACTCTTTAAGCATTGATTTAATACAGAAACACAAATAACAATTTATTCTAATGTAATTTCGAATCTCAGAAGTTTGTAGTATTTAGAATATTGTTAAGAGAGTTCTTAATTGCCTTTTTTTTTTTTTTTTGTTACTTAACGATAAAGTAATTCATCCTATGTACTATAATTTAAAATAAAATAATTTTTTAAAGTTTAAATATAAGCTTTTATAACCCCTCAGTACTATAATATTATTATTATTAGCATATAATATTAATAAAATACTTTTATTTAATAAGAGATAGTCACAATAATTTGTGTGCTCTCGGATTGTGATGTTTGCTTTGTCATTAACTAAAGTATCATTGACTAGTTTGTTTCTACGTATAATTAATTATATTTCTTTCTGCTTGTTAGTGTTGGTTTCTTGTCCAAAAAATTGATGGTATCTACAGTTATCCGAAACATTCAGACTTAGTTTATAAGCCAATAGTAATAGAGACTTTGGAGGATTGAAGTTAATCTGTAATTAGTTTATGAGCCATTCAATAAATGAACTATACTAATTGATTAAGAATGAAGTATAAATTTAAAACATTAGTTTATATTACCATGAATCTACTTCAGTTTCTAAATAGAAAAGTGGACTTTACTGTTTAGTAATTGAAGTTTGTGGCAGCTATAATGGAAATTTTGGCATTAATGAGTAGAGATAAAGTAATAAATAATTATCAAATTCAAATTTCTGAGAAAAGAAAAAGACAATATTATTATTATTATTATTATTGATATTTAATAAAATACTTTACTGTATTTTATATAGTGTCAACTTTTTATTATATATGATTTACATTATTATACTTTCATATTTAATGAAGATAATGAAATTCAGTATTATTATCTAGAAATTTGCAATTATAGAATTTAAAAATTTTTATTTTTTAAAATTTAGTATTTGTTTTGAAGTATTTGTGATGATGTTTGTTTTATTCTCAAATACACTGTGTGTTTGCTAATCCAAACTATAGTTTTTGTACAGGATTGTTTGGATTAGTAGAAATATATATAACGAAGTGGGATGTTTAGAAAAATTTTAATGTTAGGATCTCAGCCCTTGGACAACAGAATGATTCATTTTCGTTTTCAAAGCATTGCATAGAAAACTGTACTGTTTATGTCACTGCTTTGTATATGTTGCATATAATTAATAAAATAATGTAACATTAAGTAGCAGAAGAATTGATCAAGGATAAGGATTATGTAATTTTAGGGATGGGTATATGCAGCAACATTACAGAGCATTAAGAGGGAGAAAGGTAATTGAAAAGTATAAAAATAGCATTATATCATAGTTTTTTTTTTGGTTTGTTTTGTTTTAGTTAGAACATTTAGAAAAAAATGAATAAAATTGGGTTGGGTTAGCAAGAATGCACTCTAGTTTGTATATATATCAACATCTTAAAGCCCAATGTATTAATACTAATCCAAGCTCTTTCCATACTTAATCAGGCTATTATTATGCTATAATTAATGATTAGAAACTAAGTAATTTGATATTAGAGGTAGATGTTAGGGGCTATCTCTTATCTAAATTAATAATTTATTAAATAATTTAGAACATTCTGGAAGAAAAGAACTAGCCCAGAGCGGGACTTGAACTTGCAACCTCCACTTACTGTGTGGTGCACTTGCCAGTTACACCATCCAAACCTCAAGCAAGTTTTTGCTTCCAGATGTATTTAAATTTAGATATAACCATTCATGGTTACTTATGGCACCGGCTGGGGACAACTCCTATACCTGCAACCTATATACTCCTCCACTATGGCAGTTAGTCGGCTATAGCTTTATCTGGCATGGTATATATGTACTTATATACATATATTGACATCCCAAAGCCCGATGTATTGATACTAATCCAAACTCTGTTCATAATTAATCGGTCTATTATTTTGCTATAATTAACAATTAGAAACTAAGTAATTTGGTACTAGAGGTAGACATTAGATGCCATCTCTTATCCAAATTAATAATTGTAAGTTTTAGTTTGATTTTGTATAATAGATTACTGCTTTGGAAAGTGTATATGCATTGATATAACCAGGAAAAACGATGAATTGGTTCTTAATTAAAATTTATTTTTTATAACATTTTATATTATATATACTTTCTATTTGCAATCTTAACACTTGTAAAAACTATACTATATATTTCCAAAGTAAGATTTAGATGAGATATAGCTTTTTTTGAGAGTTTGTACTAATGCACAAGTTGTAATCCCGCATTCAAACTTTTAAAAACTGTTCAAATTTATAAAAAAAATTGTATGCGAGCTAGTTCACAAACTCAAAAATATAATAATAATTTGCTGCTTTTTTAACTGCAAAATTGTTAACTTGAAACTTGTAAATAAATAGAAAACTGGAAAATTTTCAAATCAGTTGATCATGCTTTCATTGATGTGTATATTTAAGAACTAGCATTAACAGATTAGATTAGATAAAATACATCACAGAATCATAAAATAAACTCAGTATGTGCTTTACTGATGGAAAATACGGACTAATGTTTTTGATCATTACACTGGATCTTCCTCAGGTCCTTTATTTCTGAAGTAAAATGCATATAGAACTTTGTTTCAGATGTCTCAAGTATTTTATTTTTTTGAATGCATTTTAAAATTTAAAATGGTTGTGTGGCATCTAAAATATTAAATTAATAGAAGGGCAATATAAAATATGATAAAATTAACATAAATAATAATAATCAAGCATTATTTTTAACTTTGTTTTGTAGTAAGAGATTTTAATATATTGGCACTGGATTATGGTCTCTTGAATCATGATTGTCATGTAAAGGATAAACATCTTTTTTTCTTGAAGTTAATATTTTTCCCTTTAAATTTGGCCTTGATGTTGTCCATTTGTCATGTTCTCTGGTTTGGGGGGGCATTTCTAAGGTCAGCATGGACATCCTCTTCTGAAACATAAATGAACAGCATGGTGGAATGTTTTCTATTGTTATTTATGCCCTGCGAGTCATTTTGTAGAGTGGGTGAATGAAACTGATGTATTCTAAATTACAATTTAATCTGTTGTCCACTATTGAAATTTTGTAAACTCCAGGTAGTTGGCATCTTTGCCATAATGCATGATGTCAATCAGTTGCAATTATTAGGAGTATTAATAATTGTTCCAATATATTGCTCCAGTGGTTCTTATTCAAATACTATCAGAAGTAGAAGGCCAAAGTACTTTACATTACTTTATTATAAATTATTTGGTGAATCTATCCGAATTGATTCATGACGCAACGAGATCAAAAAATTTTGTAATCTAATGAGTTGATTTATATTCAACAATTAATGTTTAATGCTGAATAAATAATTCTTTGGGAAGAAAATGTTCTATAAGATATTTATTTCTAAAAAAAGAAAAAAACAAAACAATTTAAGATATCAAAGCATCAAATATGTGCAAACATTTTTGATGTTTTAATAGTCTACATTGCATTATTGCTCCGCAAACCTGCCTATAGACAGTAAAACGTTTAGGGAAAATGCTGTATCATTAAATACACATATGTAATTTTGAAAAACAATTCAAGTTAATAAAACAGATTTATTATGTTAAATGAATATTGCAATTTTTTTATGAAATAGATAATACTTTCTATAAAAATTACTTTTTAAAATATGATTCTGTCATCAAAATTTGCAAAATTAAGTTTTCTGTAAACAAAATAAATGGCAGATTTAAAATGTAAATTGAATGATATTAAGCGAATAATTTTTCTGTTTATTTACATTTACTTAAATGGAAAATATCATGTGTTTAAGATTGTCTTTTGATGTTTCAATGCATTAATCTTTAAACTTTATAAGGTATAAGTTATATATCTGCTTGTTACAAGGTATATTACAATAAAAATTGTAGAATGTCAACAAGCAAACTAATAATTTTTTAGGTTTTCTTAAATTTAAAATTTACGTTATAATTTCTGTTAATTATAGGAAAGGGAGGAAAAAATAGACGAAGAGGAAAGAATGAAAATGAAACGGAGAAAAGAGAATTAGTATTTAAGGAGGATGGACAAGGTAAAGATCATTTTCTGCTTGATTAAATTTCCATATAACGTATAAAAACTATATAAGTAAATAATTTATGAGGATAAATTTGTTTTCTGTAATATGAAAGTTTACTTTAAGTTTGTTACACTCTAACCTAGTTCCTTATCAAAATGATTAATTTTACACACGCTATTCATATTCAAATGAAGAAATAATGTATAATAGTACCAAAAGAATATTTATGGCAGTATTAATTCAAAAGCATGTTTTGATCTGCATTTATAGATTTATTATTTTCAATGAGATTGTCTGAAATTGCAAACTTTTTAAAATGTTTTCCCAGCATTACAGAATATATATCTGAAAATGTAACAAAACTTGCCACTGTAATATGGAGATGAGTTTCATTACATCCACAGATGATGGCCTAAATTAAATTGAAAACATTTTGTGTTAAATATATTTTCTGGTAACCCGAAAATAGCATTGCTTTTCTATAAGTTGCCGTAATAACAGAATCTGGTGAGCAGATATTCCATGTTTAATTAAGTTTCCTGGAACATAAACATCTTGGTCTTCATCTTTCAACATTACCCAATTTTGAAATGGTGTTTTGGAAAATTTTCAGATCTATTAAAAGTTTTTAATTTAATTTTTAGCCCTTTAATTTTATAAAATAAAAGATATTGAGAAAATTAAAAGTAGAAATTTCATTATCTTGTTTTTTCTTTTTGAATTTTGATGCTTTATTAATCACCCTTTTATAAAAATTCATGGAAAGTTAGTTGTGTGTTGGAAAATTCCAACAATCCGATTACAATCATATTATTAATTGATGTGAATTGTGAATAATTAAGAATTAACTTCTTTGAAATATGCTGATTCATAATCAGATTTTAGCTTTCTTACATTAGAAAGTAATTAAGATTGATTTTCTTAATCTCTGTATTCAAGCAATGTAAGATTATTTTGATTGATTCCAAGAAGAAAAACGTTGAAAATGTACACCATTACTTAGAGATATCTTTATGTAATGTTAATTGAAATATGTGGATAGCAGTTATGCAGATATTGTACAATAATATGCATTTTTATTGTAATTTAGTTGTCATATTAATCAGCAAAATGGAGCAAACAAGATCCATGAAATTAACCTAATGTTAGCAAAATATAAAACAAAAGAATCAAATGCATAAATCTGACTTGTGTAAGAGGTCAGATTTATGTTTATCTTTGTTAGTGTGATGACAATAATTACAGTGATTGCACGAAATTCAACTCACTGTCAAAAATTTTTTGTAAGATAGTGGAATCAGTGCCATGTTATAATAATAATGTTAATTGTTATAACCTATATTTAAGCATAAATCTCAGTGTTCTGTATAGAATTATATTTTGCTGGATGGACTCAATTCTTTCATGTAAATAACCTTGTCATTAATCTTGTTCAAGACAAAACAGCAGCTTCGACATCATGGCTTGAAATGCATGGTTTTATTGTTTTCAAAATTGTAATCGTTACTTTGACATTTTCTTGTTTTTGAGAAAACTAATGAAGAAATCTGATTTGACTTTTTTTTTATGTCCCTTATTCAGTGATTTTTATTAATTTTCAATAAAACAAAAATTTTCATAATCTAAGTGAATATGTTTTTATTGTTATTATTTTTTTTAATAGTATGTATTGTAGACTTGTAAAAATATTTTTAAAGTATGTTCACATAGATGTGTTAAAATAATTTTAGATATATCTACATAGAAGTGTTAAATGTTTTGTTTAAAAGAACTCATGTTTGTTTAAATTTTGAATGTGTTCTGGTAAACTTTAATGTTAAAAATTTGGATTGAACTACATTCAAGAAATAAGAAAAAGTCACACATTTCGTATATATAGTACAGTTGACCCCCCCTATATTGTGGGTTCATATAATGCAGATTTGTATATTGCGGCGAAAAAATTGCAACCATATTTGTATAAAGATGCTAAAAGAGACTCTTAAAATGCGGTAAAACGTCATCGCCGACTTGTGTCACGACAGGATTGGTCGAATCTGGACCAATAATGGATGAGCAGCCAAACTACTTGCATGCTACGGAGAGTTTAGGCGGGTAAGTTGAGTTTACTATCGTCTGTACAGTATATAAATTAGGTACTGTAAGTCTAATACAGTAGTATAATTTTATACATTTCTTGTGAAAAAAACAAGCTTAAGCAATGGCATCATCAAACCGTGCACACTCAGTAAGTAATCCTACAATTTTTTGTTTATAGCATAGTTTATATGGATTATTTCCAAAAAATTATACGTGTTTTGGAAATGTTGAGTCAAATTAGTCTAGAATCAATTAATTTTATGGAAGAAAACCTTTCAAACAGCCGTAGTCTGTAAACTGCACACGTGCCAGGCTGTGATTGGCTCATATATTTAAGGATTCTTACAAGGTGAAATTCTTATAAAGTAGAACATATCTACTGCGTTATAGGGGGGTCAACTGTACATACTTCTCATAAAGTTTATCATCTTAGGAAATCTGGCAAAATAAAGTCTGGTAAGATTACTGAATCTAACAGTTGTAGTAGCTATACATAACATGACCATGTGTCCTAATTTAAGCAGGACACTTCCATTTGAGTTTTATGTTTCACTTTCCTCTAAATGCTTGGTGGGACACATGAATGTTCTGTTTTAGGAGAATGATATATTGAATGTCATTTATGAAGGTTGGAAGATTTTGATCCTTGGTTTGCTGACTGGATGATACTAATTTATATGTTTTATAAGGTGCATTGAAAGTCATTTGAACATTCTGCAGCAGATAGAATCACTCTTGCATATGTACAGTTAGATGCATTAAATTTTAGATCACAAAAGATGTATGTTTCATTTGTTTTATTGGGGAGTTAAGTACAGTAGAGCATCATTTATCCAAAATGTCAGTTATCCAAAAGAATTCCAGTCGGCAAATTTAAATTTTTGCTAGTGCTGTGGCGCTGCAATCTTTGGCTATATCTTGGGCTACTCCAATATTTTTTTGTTGATGTGTGTGTTTTAGCTGGCAGCACTGACATTTTTGTGTAGTGTTTTTCTGAGGATTGTGTGTCGTGCTGAATCGAACATTTCTGATACTACATTAACTTCTAAAGTATAATTTTTTTTTTTGTTTTTATATTTTTCAATATATTTATTTTGTTTGTAAAAAATAAAGAAATAATTTTCAATGATACAATAGCCACGATTATTATTTTAAAAAGTTTACGTTAGGCTTAACATCGACGAAAATTCAACAAGAAGCGACACGCAATGAAGAAAAATTTCAACATGGGATAGGTTAATATATTTTTTTGTACATAATCAGTTATCTGAAAAATAAGTTAGCCGAACAACCCCAGTCTCCAATTGTTTCGGATAAATGACGCTCTACTGTATACAGCAGGCTGCCACAAGTGGGCTTGCAGGGTGTACATCCTACATGATCACTCATCAAGGAGCACCAAAAGATGTTTCTAATTATGTGTGTGATTTGAATTATGAGATTACAAAATGGAACAAAACATTATGTTGAAAAAGTAGTAAGCTCCAATAGCCCAAGCATTAATGCTTACATTATATATTAATTAATATTTATATGGATTTATAGTACTGCATAATTAAGCATGTGTGATAATCAAGCATAATCAATGTGTGCATAATAATGTGTGCATAATCAAGTATATTTTTTGTCTAGCAAGGAATAAACTTGTCTACAATAGTGCCAGATGTTTGTACCATTCAAACTCAATTCAAAGGAGTTTTGACGGTGTTCAAAAAATATGATTTTATGATTTATTTGCACTAGTTCGTAAGAGGCTCAAAAAATAGGACTCTGAGTGTGAGATGCTTCTAGCAGCAGTACTATATACAGGTTATGCAAAAGTAAGATGAAGGAATTACTAATAAACTCTAAAGAACCCTTTCACTTTCAGTGTCAAAACTTTAATAAATTGTCAAATGAATGCTTTCGACCTTACTCAAGGTCTGCTTCAGGAATTACTGTAATATGAATTATAGTAGTACATGCAGTGAGATTGTATTGCCTGTAAAGTAATTTAAACCATAAAGTCTTTTATCTTACTTTTGTGTAACCTGTATACTTATCTCTACTACAAAACGAATGGGAATATCCACATCTTTTTAATGTCAAATCTAATGCATCTAACTGTACTTTATATAAGTCAACCAATAGTCCAATACAATATCTCAATCTAGCTTGAGTGATACTGCAGAAGTTTCCATCTGGCAGCTTCTTCCATCTCCATGGGACTAAAGTACTCACCAAAGAGGTCTCTCTTATGAATACTATTTGGACAAGTGAGCTTATTGTTGCTTCTGATGAACGTAACTGATGCCTTTGGTACTGGAAACTTGAGCAAGAAACTGTGCAAGGCACTTATATAGTACTCAGATCTCATGCAGAAAATTCATTAATCATTGAAATATTGTGTAACAAATGTGCTTCTAGCAGAGTTTCAAACACATTATTTGCTGCACAGCAGTTGGATTAGGATGAGCCATGACATAATTTGAATTTACAATTGTCACAATTCAGTTTTTGTAGTATCCTGGTATCCTGTATATCCTAAAATGTATCCTGCTCTGGTGTCCACTGTAGTAATAAACTCAAATAAATAGGTTACTGGGTCAACAGAGATTTAAAATTAAATATCTTAATAAATTTTATTTCTTTATTTATTTATTTTTGAATTTTCTAATGGTAGCTGTTTATATGTTTATTAAGTAATGTCTCTTCAATCCGGAAAAAAAAAAAAACTTCCAGTAGACTACCTCACAGCCAATTCAGATTATAAAACTCCTTTTATTGCTTTTTTACAGATGCATTTCAAGCCAGGTTAACTTTCTAGCTCCTCTTCAATGCTGATTTCTGTATCCATTTTATCCAAAGAAATATCTTTTCTGAATTTTCACTTAATCTTAATAAATATTTAAGCAGATGCTGATAAAAAAATTTGTTATTTCCTTCTCTCTGAG